GCGGTCTATATCTCCCATAGTGAAACACCGAAGTTAGAAAAAGAACTTTGGGTTACTTAACGTAACCTCGGTTCTTTGATAACAGAGTGAGGTGTTTCACCACACATCCCTCCTTGCATTGACACAGAAAGAAATCGGTCTACATTACATTACATTACGTGTCATTTAGCAGACGCTTTTATCCAAAGCGACTTACATTACACTTTAAACCCATGGCTTTTTTTTCACATTTTTTTTTGCCTGGGGAGCAATTAGGGGTTAGGTGTCTTGCTCAGGGACACTTGGACATGGAACAAGGGGCAGCCTGGAATCGAACCACCAACCTTGTGCTTCCCAGCACACCTTCTCTAACCCCTGCGCCACGACGACCCCGGTCAAGAATGATTTGCGAGGGGCGGTCGACTGTGATAATATGAGGGGGCGGGGCCCCAGCACAGTTCGACCTGTCTGTCACTGACAGACGTGGTGTCATTGGAGCTTCCTTAGTTGGTCACGCTGAGGCGATTCCCATAGTGAAACATCTTACTCTGTTATCAAAGAACCGAGGTTACGTCAAGTAACGTAAAGTTACATTGAACTCACCAGAAGACCACTCCCAGAGGAGTGGAAACTAACTTTCACACCTTTTACATTGTTATAAATACCTGTAGGAACCATTGTTCTCGAGTTCGCTGGTGGAGACAACAGACGGGCACTAGGGATGGTCAAAAGGACTGACCTGGGGCCTGTTTGTTGCCGAGACCAGCGGCTCCTTAGCTGAGATATTCTTTTTACCACAACACCATCTCCTTTATTAAAATACATTTGATTTTAACCTGGTATATTTTAACCTGGTGGTGTATGTTTAAAACCTCCATTGCTGAAGCCGCGGCAGTGAGTTGTGGCCTCAAGGTCTTAGGTGCATCAAGGGGCGGTAACCCTCGAACCCCGTGGTGGACACCGGTGGTCAGGGAAGCCGTCCGACTGAAGAAGGAGGCCTTCCGGGTTATGATATCCGGTGGGACTCCGGAGGCAGTTGCAGTGTACCGACAGGCTCGAAGGGCAGCAGCCTCTGCCGTGATGGAGGCAAAGCAGCGAGTATGAGAGGATTTTGGGGTAACTATGGAGAAGGACTTTCGGTCGGCACCAAAGTGCTTCTGGAAGACCATGTGGCACCTCAGGAGGGGGAAACGGGGAACCATCCAAGCTGTGTACAGTAAGGATGGGACCCTGTTGACCACGACTGAGGAGGTTATCGGGCGGTGGAAGGAACACTTTGAGGAACTCCTGAATCCAACTACTACACCCTCTTTGGTAGAGGCGCAGCTGGAGGCGTAGGAGGGATCATCGTCAATTGGCCTGGTGGAGGTCACTGAGGTAGTCAAACAACTCTGCAGTGGCAAAGCCCCGGGGATTGATGACATCCGTCCAGAGATGCTAAAAGCAATGGGTGTTGGGGGGTTGTCTTGGATGAAACGCCTCTTCAACATTGCGTGGAAGTCTGGGACAGTGCCAAAAGAGTGGCAGACCGGGGTGGTGGTACCACTCTTCAAAAAGGGGGACCAGAGAGTGTGTGCCAATTACAGGGGTATCACACTACTCAGCCTTGCAGGTAAAGTCTACTCTAAGGTGCTGGAAAGGAGGGTTCGGCCGATAGTCGAACCACGGATTGAAGAGGAACAATGCGGTTTTCGTCCTGGTGGTGGAACAACGGACCAGCTCTTCACTCTTTCGAGGATCATAGAGGGGGCTTGGGAGTATGCTCAACCAGTCTACATGTGTTTTGTGGACTTGGAGAAGGCGTATGACCGGGTCCCCCGAGAGAAACTGTGGGAGGTGCTGCAGGAGTACGGGGTGAGGGGGTCCTTGCTTGGGCCCATCCAATCCTTGTACGCCTGCCTCTGGACGCCTGCCGCCTCCGGTGCAACTTCAGGCTGGCTGGTTCGATGACCTGTTGGGTCAGAACGGTGCCAGGGTCTCTCGGTAGGACAACTACAGGGGTTCAATCTCAGCTGCCTGTCTCCGAGAGACTGGCAGTTTCATAAAGCATATTCTTGCTTTGGCAGCAGGACTGCGGTGATGACAGGTGGAGCATTCCGGCGCTGATTGGCTTACGAGAGACAGCGTCCGGCGGATTTTGCCTCGAAGTCGGAATGAGGCTGTTTAATCCCCTCACTTCGTTGCACTCCGTTCTGGTCCTGAGCATCACGCCATTCGCACCGCCCCTTGAAAACGTGCTTTGTTCGCAACCATCTGCGTCTGTGCATTGACTTTGCATGGAATCTACTCGCACAAAGAATTCCTCTGGTTTTGTTTGAAGGTACCGTAATGTAGATCTGGTGACAAATGTCTCAGGGAAAGCAGAGGGTACACGGTTTGGAAAGTGCCGGTAGAGTCGTATTTCTGACACACAGACATATAAAGTATGTCTCTGGTGTGTCAGAGTTTTGTGTCTCAAAGGATGAACTTATTTATTGGATTGGATTTTTGTTTAGAATCTAGGGGAACTTGTTTGAGTGTAGATTCCAGGTAAAATCACTGTCAACTCTCTCCCAAGTCTTTGATCTAAATATAAAAATTGCATGGAAAAACATTATGCTGTTCAAAATTGGCTTGTTATTTGATTAAAGAGAATCCACCAAAAAAAAAAATACACACACTGTCAAACAGTTTGCAGCAGGATATACTAGATTAAACATCTTACGGTATAGTCCACCAACATCAATGGAAAAACCAAATTCAGAGCTATTAGCATTTGCGTAATTATGTAAACGCTTCAAACAGTTTTGCATTTAGCAGCAGAACTCTGCAGAAAACAGCCAGAGCGCAGCAGCGAGCTGCTGATGTCAGCAAGATACCACACATCATTGTGCTTCACCTTCCTCTAACATGCTGAAACAACGTGCATTCCTTCTTTGCTCAACATCTGTGTCGAGGTGCATGTGATGCACAACATCAGGAAGCTTCAGTCGCACCTCATGAAGGTCACCAGGAGGGAGAGACAAAATCCAAGGAAGCCTTATGACGTTTAGCGTTAAACACACGAGAGAGTACTTTTAAGGTTTTTTGGGTTCAGATTCATTTTATTGATCAAGTACGGGAACAAAAATAACAACAGCATAACAATTTATTTTTTACTTTTTTAAGTAAAAATCACACAAGCGATATTCCTGCAGTACCTGTTACCAGTGTTGCACTTTCACTACTTCAATATTCTGAAGGTATTTATATAATAATATTCATTACAGGATATTTTTTATTGACAAACTCTTCAAAAAGGGGGACCAGAGAGTGTGTGCCGTTTAAAATTGTAAAATTCTTATTCACCAATGTGTGCAGGAAAATGTGCATATTTAGCTTTACATACATAATCGTGACGAGCATACTGCATATATTATTGGCATATTTTGCTTTTCATCAGTGTTTATCATCAAGTAAAGTGCTAAATTACACAGAATAAGGTGTCGTGCTTAAAAAGATTCATCAGAAGCTTCGTGAGTTCAATAAATAGCTGTACTTCTCATGATATAAACTTCATGATTGGTTTATGTCATGAGAAGTACAGCTAATTAAGAAGTCCCCAAAGACATATTTTGATGACGTTTGATGCCGAGAGCACAATTTAAGAGGAGTTGATAATCCTCTGTGGTCACTGAAGCACTACTGCACAACACATGTCTTTTTCTCCTCCATCTTTTCTTTTTCATCAACTTCATCAAATGAAATTTTCCTTCCAATTCCATGTTTCTTCATTTCCTTCTCTGGATAAAATGGCGTCTCCAGGATTACTTTGTTCTCCTCTGCTGTCGGCAGACCTTTGCACAGGAAGTCATAGATCTTCTGCCATGAGTCCAACTCGGAGCGCCAAAGTGCAGCTCTGGCTCGGATGAACTGTGAGACTTCGGTCTCGCTGCCTTTGGCCAGACCGATGCTGTCTTTGCAGATGAAGAAGATATCCATGCCCAGGAAGAGAGCGTTGAGCCCGATGAGACCGGCCCTTGCCGATTTGGAGAGGGCCAGAGGGCCTTTGAGCGCCGCCTGACCGATATCGGGGAGGTCAGCCGCCACCTTGGGCGCGTTCCGCAGAGCTTTCCCTTCCTGCATCGCCACTTTGCCAGCACCTACAAACAGGTCTTCACTCTTTAACATCTTAATAGCGTTGGTCGCATCCACAAGTCCATCGATGCCTTTTCCAATAGCACCAACTTTGCATAGCGCCATGCCTACTCCCAGAACCACATCTTCTGGGCTTGAAACCTTCTTGCTGACCTCTTCCAGACAATCCTGGAGAGTCTGCACATCCTCCATGAAGCTCTGGAAGATCTCCCCGGCTTGCTTTTGATGTTTATGGTTTACACCAATCTCTGTGGCAGTGGTGACTAATCCGTTGACCCCGCTGGTGATTCCCATCCCCACCCCAGTCATTGTGAGAGCGAGAGACACTCCAGCTGTTACAGGAATCAATGCCAAACCGATGATGGAAAGCACACCTCCAACTGCCCCCACTGAGCTGCCTACCACACTGGAGATCTTTGCCCCCTTATTCATCTGGTCCAGCTGAACAGCATTCTCCTCCAGGTCTTCAAGAAACTGAAGCATCCGAGGCTGTCGCTCTTTGATCTCAGAGATGAAGTTAGAATATTCCCCCTGAAACAAGAACACCGTCCGGAAGCTCTGGTTCATCCTAACGAAAGGAAAAGAAGGTTAAATGTCACTTTAAAATTCAGTATGAAGAAAATTATTAGAACCTGGTTCTCTTTGGAGGAGACAATGAGGCCAAAATAATAGAATCAACATAAAAGAACAAGTGGATACAATCTGAAATAAAGGACACATTCTAGTGTGTGTTGACTCCTGTAAGACAACAAACATAAAACGACTATTCTTTCATTTCAGTCCTTACGGCGGCTTTAAAGGACATTTGGATTACATTTTTTAATTTTTTTTTCTTTTTGATGTGTTTAAACATTACTTCAGAACGGATCTGGTAGAAAAAAGAACCATAGATGCTTATTGGTTACCTGATTTCCTCAAGCTCCTCAATGTGCCAAAGCATCACTTCAATATCATCTTCAGACAAATCCACATCGAGATCCACCAGGGTTTCATCGTTCATCTCTATGCAGAAGTCACTGAGGGAGCTGAACAAAGGCACAAATTCATATTTTATAATATTTGTATTTATTTTGCTAAATATGTATATGATTATGGAAATATCTATTGACCTTTTCTCTAACTTCTCACAGATTGTCTGTGTGGTTGTAATGTACTTGTTCAGCTGATACGAGAGCACCTCCACATTGTGAAGTTTGGGAAGGAAGAAGGCTGTTGCATCTCTTCTGAACCCGATGAGGAGATGGCAGGTCATCTGTGCAGCGCTGATCACAACCTGAACGTCTTCTGGGCAGATCCCTTCTGGCAGATGCAGCATATAGTTCTGGTCCGTGAAAACATGAAGCGAGGTGACCGCCAGGTTCTCCACTGCGTCCAGGAAGCAGTGGAGCTCCTCCAGACCTCCCAGAGTGCCCTTCAGCACGGCGGCCAGCTCCGCCTCCAGCTCGGCGCGCCTGCTGTCTGCAGTCACCTGGGTGAACTTGCTCCCTAAGTACCAAAAAAAGGCCTGGACTTTGTTGTTGGACTGGGTGACGTGGTCGAGGCCTGGGTCGATGCCGTCAGCTCTTTCTTTGATGTCCATCATCATGTCCAACTCGGTCTTCCTCCCAAGCGTCCACTTATGGACCCGCTCACAGAATTCTCTCACTATGTTGACGTAGATGAGGGTGTCGTTGACGTAGCAGCACATGGCCTCCTGAAGTTCCTTCCTGTAAAGCATCCTCCTGTTAGTGAAAGCTCAAACGTAATTCAAGCTACTGTGTTGCTGCTGGGAGCTTTGGACAGGACTCAGACAGACTCTCTACATCTCACAAAGAACTAACTACACTTAACTAGAAAATGCATTTCCTGCTGAAAATGCGTTGGAATGCAAAAAGCTGAAAGCTGAAATGAATTTTTAAAAATAGCTGAAATTACAGAAAGTTGAAGGGAATTTGAATACATTTGCTGAAATTACAGATATTAGAAAAGCTGAAATTAATTTCAAATTGCTGAAAATACAGAAATGGGAGAAGCTGAAAGGAGTTTCAATAGATTTGGTGAAAAAGCAGAAATGAAAACAGCTGAAATAAATGTGAAATCTTGCAAAAAAAATACAGAAATGAATATTAAAACATCGATGTTAAGAGGCATAGGAAAAGCAGAAATAATTTTTAAAAACTGCTGAAAATACAGGAAGTGAGGAAGCTGAATTTCAATAGATTTTCTACATTACATTTACATTACTCTACATTACAGGTCATTTAGAAGACGCTTTTATCCAAAGCGACTTTAAAACCATGGCCTTTTCACATTTTTGCCTGGGGAGCAATTAGGGGTTAGGTGTCTTGCTCAGGGACACTTCAGCATGGAACATGGGGGCAGCCTGGACTCGAACCACCAACCTTGTGCTTCCCAGCGCACCTTCTCTAACCCCTGGGCCATGACGGCCCCAGGTTCTAAAAAATACAGAAGTTGCAGGAGCCTAACTGAATTTTAAAAAGTACAGAAATAACAAAAGCTGAGATGACTAAAAAGAGGTTTAAAATTGTTTGTAGTAATATTCGTAGTAGTTATAGTTGTAATTGAGGTATTAGTAGCAGTAGAAGCAGTAATAGTAGGTTTAGTATCAATAGCAGTAGAAACAGCTGTAATACTATTAGCCATAGTAGTATTTGTAATAACATTAGTAGTAGTTGTAGTATTAATAGCAGTAGAAATACTAGTAGTATGGTAGTAAAAGTATCAGTTGTAGTACTACTAGAAGTACTAGTAACATGCTTAGTGGTTGTAGTAGTATTTGAAAGAGCAATACGTATTCCAACGAAATCGCTTCATTCTGAGCTTCATGGTTAAGGTACAGATAATCATTGAGGCTTTTATTTTGTAATGATGGAATTGGGTGAGGGGGGGGTTGGGAGACAGAATGTTTGTTATTCAAACTAAAAAGTTTTTAATTATTAGGCCTCATCACAAACATTACAGTAAAAATTCCCTCCATGGGGCTTTTATTTTGTAATTATTGGACTGGGTGGGGTGGGGGGGGTGTAGATAGAGGGAGGGAGGGTGAGAGGGTGAGGAAGGGAGGGGTGGTGAGGAAGAGATAGAGGGAGAGAGAGAGAGGAGGAGAAATAGACAGACTGACTGACTGAGAGTGATTAACAGTGAGAAGAGGTCAGGGTGGAGGGGGGAGGGGGGGCGAGTGTCTTTATCACATTGGTCTGTTGACAGAAAGCATAGCTGCGTCATGTGACTCCACTAATCAGGTCATAGGAGCAGCTGTGAGTCACAGACAGAGATACTGCAGCGTGTGAGCGAGTAACCACGACAACGCCGCACCTGTGCTCATTAACGAGCTGCTGCAAAGGGCAGAGACAGGACAGCGAGTTACACAGAATCCACACCTCAAACAAATATCTACCAGCGAAAAACTATATCAGCTATCTAAAAAATACGGCGTTTTTACGAGACCCAAGACTCTACCGAACGCATGGATGTGCTTTTTATGTCTGTCCGGTAATAAATACGGCTCCTATCGCCGTTGACAAAACGTGTACCTTCTGGATTTTTAGAGAAATATGTCGGCAGATTTGTATTGGAGCCTATGGGGCTTTTGGCAGAGGTTGTGTCAGTCTAACACTCCTTAAGCCAAAACTAAGATTCTGGCGCTGCCTCACACTCTAGCCCTCGAGGTCCCCAATCTAGCAGACGCAATACACACTCATGTAAAAGTCAGAAACGGAGCGAAGAACTAGTGAAACATAATCAGTGATTATGAAAAACGTACAATAGATAACAAGCAGTTTTTTCATAAAATAGTTGAGACTTGTGTCAACATTTGAAAGTTTAAATGGTGTCTGTAGCTGAAAGATTTGCGAAGCTGAAAAATCTGAAAGTTGAAGAAGAGGATTTGAAAACAAACTCCATTTGAAAACCATGTTAAAATATTAATGATTATTGATTCATATAAATTCAAGCTTAAGAGGTAGAAAGCTGAAACGCCATAGCCCGGAAGCTGGAAAGAAGCTGAACATTTTAATATTTGAACGGTTTTAACAGCTGAAAGTGTGAAAGGTGCCACGGAAGAAATAGAATAAGTTGAAATAAAGAATAGAAGAACAATACTTGGAATGCTTAATGCAGTGTTTTTCAACCTTTTTTGCGTCAAGGCACACTTAAGACACAGAATAAATCTCACGGCACACCAACAACCGGAAATGATACGAAAATCAATCCCAAACATAGTTTCAGCATGAGCATAATATACTCTAAGAAATCAGGGAAACGCGTGTTCTATTTGTTGTGTTTTATTAAACTTAACATCATCCTAATGCCAAGATGGCACAGGCTTTATGCCCAGTATCTCTTAAGCCTAGTTTATGCTTCTGCGTTGTCCCTTGCGTCGCTTTTCACACCTCCTTGCGTCCTTGCGTCCCAGTGAGCATTTTTTGGTTGAAAAGACGTTTAAAAGACGTCTATGCTCGACGTTGAAAAGACGTTGCAAATTGGTTTAAAAGTGAAAGTTGTTTCAACGTCTATTCGTAGACGTGAAAAGACGTCTATGTTTAGACCACATTTCAACGTGATTTTTTAATTCGGTAATATTTCGTCTTCTCTTGTGTGCTATATCATTATTTTAGAGGTTTAAAAAGAAACTACGTCCACATTTGTAAGTTTACCACCGATATTATAAATCACGTTCAAAACGGGTCTATACGCGAACGTCTTTTCAACGTCTACGAATAGACGTTGAATCAACTTTCACTTTTAAACCATTTTGCAACGTGTTTTCAACGTCGGGCCACAGACGTCTTTTAAACGTCTTTTCAACGTTGAAATGCTCGCTGGTTGAAATGTGGTCTAAACGTAAACGTCTTTTCAACGTCTATGAATAGACGTTGAAACAACTTTCACCTTTGAACCAATTTGCAACCGCTTTTCAACGTCGGGCCATAGACGTCTTTTAAACGTTGTTTCAACGGATAAATTGCTCGCTGGAAACGTACAAGTTACATACTTAGTCACAGTTGTCATGTTAACATCCCTTAACAAGGACAAACACATTATTTTATTGATTTGTATTTATTATAAATATAACACTATACATATAACAGCACTTTTGCTAATTAAAAACAATACAGAAATAAAATATATTTTTCAGGAAAATAAATTATGGAATTAAAAGTGCAGAAACAACATTTCTGTGTTCAACAATTCTGTGTTTGTAGACCATTTTTCTGAATCATTGGAACTTCATTATAGATTCTGTAACAAGATGTGGCTCACTTGAGTTGGGATAGTATACCTGAAATCAGCTGCATCTCCCTCATCCTCACTTGAGGATTCTTTGTGTAAAGGGAGTCAGAGTGCACGGAGCAGATTCCTCTGGTCAACGTGTTTATTCAATTCAAATCATTTTATTTTGTTCAGCTTTGCAATCTGTAAACATGCAACACCCTATCCCCTAAACCCCAAAATGTAAAAAACCTTCAACCTGGAGAAACCTGAGGGGAAAACAGTAGGGAAGAAGGTGTGAACAACTTAAAAGATGTACAGTACATCCGATTCCTACAACATAAATGATTCTAATATTGTGGATTATTAAGCCAGGGGTAAGGCAGGACCAGTGCAGGGACAACCATCATCAGACGTAACCTCCATCAGATGCAACCACCACCCGCAGAAACCTGTGAGGAGGGAAGGACAAAGGCAAAGTTGGTAATTTGGGTTTATGATGACAGTAATAAACTAATAATAATAACAGCAGCAGGTGTGTTAGAACACTCATTTATAGATGGTTTACTTATTACATTATAAACAAGATAACAATTCATCTGCAACTTTCTGGAGTAACATTTTCAGGTATATTACACAGTATCATGCTTTAAGCAGCAGTAACTTACAATGTTTCGGCCTCTTGTTTACAGAGCACAACTTGTTGAATTCAGCCCTTCACCGTTGCAATGCAACTTAGCCCCCATTGCTTTAAAAACGTATTTTTTTCAATGTGAAATGCAATAATATTTATGGGTACAGCAACAATCTAACGCATTAGTAACACCAAACACGCACAAAAATGTCTGGAATGTTTACTTTTGGTCCAGGTCATCATGCTGCACGCTAGCATGCTCCAAGCTAGCATGCTAACTAGCAAACTACCTGCGCTAACGCTAACTAGCTTAACAAAAAGGGCCGTCTTTCCTGTATCGAGTCGGCAAGTAAAACACCCGGTTATAGTTCCATGTGTGCTTCATTCAAACACTCCCGTACTTACAGAGCAGTGGAGCCGGTAGTCGTGGTTCTATCAGCCCGTTCATGTCGCTCTGCTGCCGTAACTTCGCTTCGTGCTGCGTCCGCTCGGAGCTCTGCAGGCGTCTAAGAACTCGCGCATGCGCGTTACAGATGTGAGCGGAGTTACGTGTTTACAAGTAATGTTTGAACCTGCCCGCATTATTATGTCTTAAACGCATCTTATTGACAGCACGCAGTCCGTAGTTTCATATTTATGACGTTTTAAGCGAAATAGTAAATACGTTGAAATTACGTCTTCGCGTTGACCAAATTTCGCCGACCAGTTCATTAATTATTATGAAAATCTTAACGTTAATATCGTCTCTCTTCCAACCCTACGTTACAACATGACACATTTATCAACAAATTAACGTTTTCTGGCACGTTGATGTTTCATCCCATTTTTAGCCGGTTGAAAAGACGTTGAAATGAGGTCTTAGACGTTCAGACCTCATTTCAACCCGATTTCAACCATATTTCAACGTTGAAATTACGTCTTGTGCTCACTGGGTTTGGTGTCGTGGATTTAAAACAACTGGTTACCTTGGGCGTGTCTTGGAACGCTTCAGGACATGTGCAACGCTACTTCTTCACGAGGCTGCAGCCTTGCAGCGACACATTTTGATAAAGAAAGGATATTGTTTTCTTACGGCCATCGCGTGACGTAAACCACAGACACGAACAAAACAAAGTTTAGAAAATATATTAAAAGATCGAACCGACCAGGTTGCGAACCCATGCAGCAAAATGCAAACGTATCACACTGATGCTCGCGCTATGCGCTGCGCCACGGGGCAGTTCGCAGGGTTTGGTCTTAATATATTAGTAGATGGTGATTGGCGTTTTGAAGATTTTCAGCAATATGTTTGTGAATGTGTGACGAATCAGGGAACTGAGGCGGACACATCTGCAGCTGTGGAGTGAACACAAACACGCACGCGTAGGGAAACCAGTAGGTGGAAAAACCAGTAGGGGTGTAACACCGGTCGAGAGGTGCGCAAAGTTGTGGAGGAAAATACGGGACAAATGTGTCCGTGATGAAAAGCAGCAGTGGCGACGCACGGGGCAATAAAGTATATAATAAATAAACAAATAAATAAATAGATGTGACTCTCTGGGTAGTCTTCACCAAAACACGTCACTCCGTCTGTTGTTCTGGTGGTGAATTGCTCTGCAACACACGCAGAACCATGAATTGAAACGAGTGCGTCGACACAACGACGCAGACGCAAACGCAGAAGCATGCGGCAGCCTTAAATCTCACTTTTTTAAATTGTCGCCTCAGCAAATCTGCCTATTAATTACGCTGCGTAGCGCCACCCACAGGCAGAGGGGAGTATTGATCCTTAATACCACCAACAGCGCGACGACACACGAACACAAGTTGGCTCTTTTTTTTTTTCACCAATGAAGTGACAGTATGTAAAAATATATATTTTTTCACGGCACACCGGACAGCCTCGTGCCGCGGCACACTGGTTGAAAAACACAGGCTTAATGCATTCCAACAATAAAGAATAGAAGAACAATACTTGGAATGCTTAATGCATTCCAACAACTAGATCTGCAGAGACACTAAACGGGACAAAAATTACACACAAAAGAAACTCCCATAATGACTAAAGAGATGCAGACAAGATAAACTTCTACAACGTAATCTGTAAAGAAACAATGGGAGAGCATTGGATTTGTCACGTAATGAGTATGCATGCTAGTATTTCTTCTTCCCCTCAAATTGACCCCAAAGAAATTCTGAGGATGTTGTGAGATGATAAAATACTTTCCAGAGCATAAACCATTTAAGAGCTGATAAGATGATCCTTTATCAGTAACGCAGCAGGGAAATACACAGGATTACAACCGCAAAGGGTCAAGAGCAAACAAAGACCTTGTAAACTTTCTTTTTAAAAGATAAGATATGATAAATAAACAGTAATAAAGGAAACAAGAATCCACAATAACTGAAGTAAATATTACATCTTGATTTGATAGATTCTTCAAGCACCATAAAGAATCTGCTGTGAGAGTGAAATTAAAATCTCACCCGGTGCTTAAAGAGGTGATAACGTCACAACATGCAACATGAGCAAAACCACACCAGTGTTTCTAAAATGTATTTAACAAGTGTATGACGTGTCGTGTGTGTCTCTCCTACTAACACACGTACTTTATGTGACATGTTTCCTCTTTGTGTTAAAAGTCTTTACCTTGCAGCAGACATGGTCCTCGTGTTCGTGTGACGTCTTCGGTTCCTAATTGTATCACCTGTGTGGTGACACTACGAACAGGCTGGATCTCTCTCAGTGGAACCCTGGAGAACAGATGCAGATGCTGTTGAGTTTCGTTTCCTTTTCTCCGACTCGACAGGTGGAACTCGTCAACCGCACCCAACTTTTAAGCTTTTACGCGTTCCGGCTGTTGTTCTCTAAACTTCATTCCTTCGGCGTTCTCTTCACTGCCCTCGCGCCGTGAACTGCGCCTCCTTCACATGTTTAGCTTTCTTTCTCGATGACGGTGTTGAGTTTCGTTTCCTTTCCTTTCCCTTTCCTCCTGGAACTCAACAACCGCACCCAGAGGAGACATAACTGAGGTTTGATTCCAAATGTCAAAAGAAATGCCTCCTAACGTCTGTTCCTTGACGTCCCCGGAAAACGTCACGGGGTCAAGGACAGATGGTTAGGAGACTTCACGAGGAGTCAGGACAAAGGAAACTCTTTATGTTTTATGGAATGCGACGCGTCCACTGAGCAACGTGGTTATGATGCGACGAGAGACGCAAGTTAGTGACGTCAGTCTGCAGCGGCGAAACTACCATTTCTCCGAAGATGGACAACAACAAAGAGGCATCTTAGATGCCGTCATAGAGGCGACACAAAACATCAAGTTCAAAGTATTCCTTTATTATAAATGAGTCATGCTAATGGTTACTGGCACGACCTGCTCTTCTCGATCATGGTCGTTATTTCTCGTGAGCAGCCGAATGATATGAACTATTTAAATATTGCCGCCGCAAGGAATTGTGGGACGGAATGATCTGTGTGTGTGTATCTGGTTTAGTGGTTTCTATGGTGAAGGAGCTCGGGGGGGAAGCGTTGGAGCTCCTTTGCGTTGGAACATTCAAACAGCTCTCATCCTGGCGGCCACTTACTTCCGGGTCATTTCACTCGGTGAAGAAGGTTCCTAAACAAAGACGACTGTTGAAATCCAGCCAACTCGAGGCCGATCAGCTGAGCTCGGTTTACCTAAGGGGCTGGACCTAAAAGACCGGTTTCATCCTCGCGAGTTCACGAGATCTCGCGAGAGTCACCTGCTGATTTCCTGATGCTGCCCTCGTGGAGGTTTAAAGTTGATAATAAGATTTAAAATTATGATTTAAGTGACTGTAAAGGGAAAGGTTGCTTTCTAGATGCTAAAGGCGAAAACAGTGATGCTATGGTACTGTACTTAAGTCAAATCCGGTATATTCCCTTGGATTCCTTTTTAGAGCGCTATGAAAATGTATTATCATTCATTTTCATGTAGGTTACTTTAGTTGATCTCCATTTTATGAAACTACATTTGAGCGAAAACATTGACTTTACAAGGATAACTGTTACTGGAACACATTTAACCTTAAAAGAGAGTTAATCATTCAAAATAGTGATGGTGAAAAGCAGCTTTGCAGCATATTTTGGTGTATTTTTTTTATTTAAAAAAATTAATATAACATGAAATTGAAATAAAACCGGTGCCCTAATGCATATTATACTTTAATGATGCCTTCATGGTTTAGTACACTTTTCAGAAGGGTCAACGGCACCATCCAGTGGTTTGAAAGACAGAAATCCTTAAACTTAAAATCTTCTGAATCAAAAAAGAAAAATTCTAGGAATAATTTGATTCAGAGGGCTGTACACTGATGGATTAAACACTGTTGGTAAACTTTGTTGTTTCTATGGCAACTGGACATCCGTAATCTTTATGTATTGCCCCAGCTGATCTCAATTCACCTCAGATCAGGCAACAAATCAAGTAATTCAGTAATTGAGAAATCATATTCCTAATGACGTTTTGATGAATCCCGCCCAAAATCAGTAAAAGCATTACAACATCATGGAAGCACTGGTTGCACTGGGTTTAAATCAATCTGCATCATGGACCAGTAGGCCCAACAGCCCCCCTCCCCCCGGGGGCCCTGAGCAGGTTTCCTCCGGCCACGCAGGCGAAGGACGGGGTGTTAAAACGCTCACTCAGCTGCTCTCGGCTCAGCGCCGACACCGAGGGATCCGAGTGGAAACACTGCTGACGCCGCAGTGTCCTCACAACACGCGAGGCAACATCTGCAGAGCACTCTGAAGAACACAGATGTGGAGGGGGGGGGGGGGGGGGGGTCATGTTACAATGACCCGTTTTTTTGGTGATGTGGTTTGTGGTGCTGTTGAAGTGTTACACTGATGGTGTTTTTATTATATAATGTATTATGCCCTCCCCCCAAAAGAGGAAGAAGTTGGATCCAGGCCTCTGTGAGCATGTAATTCCTCCTCCTGGAGGGATGAAATGTGTTTTAACACCAGAGGGCCCTCGGGTGCCTCTAATGAGGCTCAATTACTGCGTTCAAAGTGCGACCACCTTTGAGCCAGCCTCTGTTTCCTTTCCCTCCCTCTCTCTTCTTTTACTCCAATTTACTTCAACCCCCCCCCGGGGCCGCCGCTCTACAACAAGGCCCCCCATCAGGGCCGGATTCGCCGAGTCAGATCAACAAAGAGAGTCCACGTCAGGGGGAATTGTTTGATGAGGGGGACGGGCGTCCCAAGCAAGGTCTTCAGCCGGAGCTCGAGGTCTCTCTGCTGGCTTTCTGGTGTCTTCAGGAGGGATTTTGCTTCAGGGAGAGTTTACTGCACAGCTGGTTTGGAGATGATGCTGCTGAGGAACACACTTCATGGACTTTCCTTCATGCAGAGCTTTGAAATTTTTAACAACAACACTTTTTTTCCCAAGGTTTCATTTGTTGAGTGTCTGAGTGTCCGGAGGCCCGAGAGGAACATGATGAGAACCTTTTAGTCCAACCTGCACACACACACACACACACACACTCTCTCTGACTGACAATGTTGGTCACGAGGAGCTGAACAACCTTTTTCACCCACATCATCAGAGCGGCGGGTCTCGAACGCTTTGCTCGCTGACAGACGGGCGAAAACCGACGGGAAGATCACAATTATTTATTATTGCTCCTGTTGTGTCAGATGGTTCGGGAGGTGTAAATGCCTCATTCTGAGTAGTGGAACAAAACAATTCTTATTTTCAGGAGGTTACACACTAGAGGAAGAAAAGAGAAGCAAAAACACATCAGCCTTCAAAGAGAAGGAACCACAAGCAGAATACATGTTTTTATTTCAGAAATACATGTAAATGTGATCCATTACGCTCTAAACGCTGCTAGGCAACAAGATAGCGAGGACAAGTTGGGAATGTAACACAAGGGGCCAAATACACTTTGGAAAAAAACGTTTTTAAAAAAGCAGCCTGAAAAATTGAGGAACGAAGACGTTCGTTTCTGATTGTGAGACAGAGGTTTGAACAGCAGGGGGCGACAGACTCCACATGTGGAAAGCACCGCTGGAGGGAGCTGTCCTTTCAGCACCACACGCACGCACACGCACACTGTGCTAACACTGCACACTAATTGCATGCAAGTCGGTCATTTAAAAAAAAAGGTGAATTTAATGCAAGTGCATGAATTGCAACCTTTAAAATCAGACTCTTCGCTCCTCGCTGCTCTCCTCTCGTTAGAGGATCACATCACGTGTGCCTTCAGAGATGCAGCAGCAACTAACATCGATGGAACCAGTTAACAGACAGAAAAGAAAGAAATAAAGAGAGATAAGTGAAGCCGGAAGTCAAACATTTACTGAGATTACTCCAGAGAAGACATGCGTGGAAAGAGAGAGAGAGAGAGAGAGAGAAAAGAGCGGATGCTGCAACAATTGGATCGGACGCTAATAAGCAATAGATGCATTAATCTCAGCCTGTGTGTACAAATGCAGTTAATTAGGTAAATCCTCCCATCCAGAGAGAGAGAGAGAGAGAGAGAGAGAGCACCCCCCTCCTCCGCCCCCACTCACTGAAACGGAATTTAAAAATATTTAATATCTCTCCAGCAACGAGCCTCCATCGCTGCAGCACAGACACACACACACACACACACACACACACACACACACACACACACACACACACACACACACACAAAGACACAACGTGCGCCTTTACAAAAGAAACAGAAGAAGAAGCAGCATCTTCCTCACATTGACACCACTCATCCTCCGACCACCGAGGGGGGGTTGGTGGGGGGGGTTCGGGGGTTGTTGAGCGCGTAGCCCCGCTGACACCGTGTCTGTGTGGGTCCGTGCAGCGTCGCTCTCTCCCGGTTGTGTAATATCTTCTTCACTTCTTCTTCCTCCTGCACGAAACCTGCATCCGCGAGGAGAGACTGAGGAAGAGGAGGAGGAGGAGGAGGAGGAGGAGGAGGAGGAGGGGACAGAGAGAAAAAAAAAATCAGGGGGGGGGGGGGGGGGCGGATTGCGACTTTCAACGGTATTTATTTGTCCTCCTGTTACATGGCGCAGGGGCTGCACGGACGGGCCGGTCCTGGGTGTGATTCCGCCGCGGTGCGTTCGGATATTCCAGCAGCAGCAGCCGCAGCAGCAGCAGCAGGAGCGGCGGCGTCCTCCTCCCCCCGCACCGACTCCCCGCGCTCCTCCCGCCGGCTCTATGTCGAGTGATGGTCGGCTCGCCCCGCTGGATGCTCCGCGCTCTCTCCGGATCGTCGACGACCGAACCTCCTCCGACCGCAGACCCCCATTTTCGGCGGAAAGCTTCCCAGAGCGATAGAGCTCCATATGGAAACTGGGGATCAGAATTTTAGGAAGAAGGAAAATCGACGCCGTTCATTTATTTTCATTTTTTTCTCATTTTTTTAATCGGTTGCTATCGTTTTTTTTGTGTGTATGTGCGCTTTTACAGCCTGCTAATTAATCAATTCATGTGTTGAGCCTTTGCTTTCGTGCTTTTAAACAAACGGCAGGTCGAGAATTTGTCTTTTTTTCCCTCTCGACGGGACTCGAAAGCGTCCGTTTCTTTATTCTCTTTTGTTTTGCACTGATATGTTAGATTTCCCTGCTGTCCTTCGTTTCCTTCCCGACTTTATTATCTTCTTCCCCTTTTGACTCACACGTTAGAATAAAACTATTTTTAACATAATAATCCGCAGCTGCAGTCTTAGTTATAATTCTTAATTCTAACTGTTACAGCCTCAGACTAAAGTAACTGTAACTCACTGTAACAGACATATTGAACTGTTGTACTGTACGCCTGCCATTACCCTAACACCCCCCCCCCCAACCATCTCTGTGCTCATGCTAATTCTGCCCTGTGCTCAGCTGTAACCTTTAGAGTCAGGAAACAGGCCTTTTCTGCTCTTCCTTCGCAGGCCCGTCGAGAATAAACCCCAGTTTGGTTAATCTCACTTCCATTTTTAGGCCTCGCTGTGCCTCTGTAGGCTTCAGGACGTAATTAGCCCCTTGTTATCCACCCGTCTGCAGCTGGCGGCCCGTTGAAGTGCTATCGTCTTCTGCGTACCTGATTCCTCATTTCTTTTTCGGGGGGCGAATAAGAGTCAGAAGGAACAGAGAGGGGAGACGCGCTCGCCTCTTCCTCTCTCCTCCGTCCTCAGATTTTCTCTTGTCGTGGTCCTCACCCAAACGCAACCATAAGGTTCCTACCGCATCCTCCTGGTCCGCCCTCCCTCGCCTTCGGCTCGAGTATATCCCGTTTTTTCGGTTTGGTTTGGTCCCGCAAATTTTCAAATATTTACTTCCTGTACATCAAGAGGAAAGGGGGTCCCCCTTTCATGGAATGCGGAAACATGGGTCTGTTCGACCGCGGAGTCCAGATGCTGCTGACCACGGTGGGAGCCTTCGCGGCCTTCAGCCTCATGACCATCGCGGTCGGCACGGACTACTGGCTGTACTCGCGCGGCGTCTGCCGGAGCAAGTCCATGAGCGAGAACGAGACCAGCAAGAAGAACGAGGAGGTGATGACCCACTCGGGCCTCTGGAGGACGTGCTGCTTAGAAGGTAAGAATACGAAAACTCAACCCAGAAAGGGTTCAAAGTTCACGGCGCACAGCACGCGTTGATTGCTGGTTCCTCTCATGCGAGGGCCTCTGTTACCAGACATGATGTTTCAAGGGCAGAACTGGCAAACGGCACGACACCCATACCTGTAAACTCCGATAGGCGCGCGGTTTGGGCCTTGGTCGGAATCTGAAGGTGTCTCGAGGAAACAAATGGTGTATTTGCCATAGAATGTCTTTTTCGAAAATCTTTGATTCACTCCTGCAACCTGTGACAAGCTTACAAGGTCTACAAGGTCAAAGGAGACTGAAACTTTCCACTTACATCCACTTCAACTCCACTTTTCCCGTGGGTGATTGGATAGTTTGACCTCCTCGACGTCTCTAGTGAAACATCACACAAAGAGAAGAGCGCATTTTGCAGTTGAGATGACACATGCGACCTGTAACAAAGGATAATAGGTTCATTTTGAGTAATCACGAGGCGAGAACAAAAGTCATTGGAGCTAATAATACAAATCGCTGCGTTCTCTCTGACGCAGGTTTCAACACCTTTCAAGGGGTCGCATGAAAGATCTGAGGGCAAGATTATTTACCTCATTGAAAAGAACAATCATAACTCTGCTTTCACAATTTATGTTTTTGTTCCATATTTCTCTATGTTTTGCCTTTTTTTGTGAAATACCGAATAGCAGGACCTTTTATTCTATAAATGGAACAAACTCACCAAGATGAATGACCTTTTTGGTTAAAACGACACAACGGGAGTTAATTTAAATTAACGTGGATGTGGACGATGAAGCCCGACCCTCTTCTCCAGAATCCAGAAAGAGTCGTTTCTGCAGGCAGGGAAGTGGGATCCTGGTTACAGCCTGAAGCTGTTGCATAAAAGCCTCCCACACGGCTCTGGAACGGTTCCTCCAGTCAGACGTTGGAGGTGAAATGATGAAATGAGATATGCAGGAGCCGTAGTTACGGAGGACGATCGGTCACACGTCATCCCGTCATGTCAGCGGATCGATACACCGGGGGAACTTCAAATGAGGGACTGGCGAAGTGGCGAACAAGGCCAACCAGCCGCGACGGCGTGCGCGGTGAGCAAAAGTAAAGTCACGGCGGAGGTGTCACCTGCCTGGCGGCGCCCGCCTGGCGACGCGCCTCGCACGCTGATCTTGCCGCGTGACCTTCGAACCTCAGATGTCAAACGGCCTCACGGGCCGAGCGCGGGTCGGCAACGGGACGACCTGGGGCGTTGTCGTGCCGACTCAAACTGTAACCTCCCGGCTTAAGAACTGGTCAGAAGTCCAATCGAAAGCGACTGGATTTGGTATTTTTACAATGATAACGTATGAAACGGTGGGGAAATGGCGCCCGGTGGCTTTAGTGAGTTGGTAGTTTGGGCCCGATGCTCCTTCGTTGGGGCCCCACAGCTTTCGCGTGCGCACACTTGATGCTCAGCCGCCATTTTCAAAAAGTTATAGTTAGCTCGACGTCTGACGATTCTCACCTCGGCTGTTCCTGAGAAGCCGCTCAGGCGCCAACAACAGCAAACCGCGGCTTCACCGGCTCCAGATGTTTCGCGAAGGTGCCACAGAGCGTGGACACAAGACGGTTATATTACTGCCGCTCGCCGCCGTTATTTAACCAGCCAACCGAACGCCGCCCGCTCGGTCTCTCCCTTAGAATCCGGCATCAGAACGGCAGGTAACAGATCTGCCGTTTGTGGTCCGTGAACAGCCCCCCAAGGAGGAGAGGCGAGGCAGCGGGGGAAACAAAGGGGGGGGGGGGGGGGGCGCTGCATTTACTGACTGGGGTCAGATTCATTTGAATTATAATTATAATTATTTCCTGCACAGGAAATTGGGTCTTAAGAAGCGAGTACATTTAATCATAGGTAGTTAAACCAGAAACCGCCGCGGTTAAGAAGTAGAAAAGCGCCGAGCGGATGCAGCTGCAGAGACGAGCGGCCGGCACGTCGGGCCCAGACCCTCGCGAGGAGTTCAACCTTTCAGATGTTAATTAGGCCCCGGCGTTCATCTCGCCCAGCTCCTCTCAGACGAGGCCTCGCCGGGGGGGGGCGGGGGAGGCGATCCACGCTGACGGGGTTCCGTGTCCTCCGTCCCGTCCGAGGCCTCCACCTTCGTCACGGCGCCGCCCTCAGGCCTCGAAACGCGCGTTGTGGACTCCGTCCGTCTGAAAGGAAGGCGCCTTGTGTCTGGTTTTCGACCACGGAGCCGCGCGCGTTGTCGCGTTCTGTTCGGAAGGATTAATCGACAAGAAGAATCTGAATAAATGTATTAATGTGGGAATTAATCACTCAAAAGAAAATGCCCCAGATGTGGAGATCCGTTGTAACCGTGGCGAGTATTTGTTTTAGATTACGTAGGAAAAACGTGCTTCCTGTTATTCGTTCTTGGCTAAAATGGCCACCGCACTTGAACATGGCGTCCCACAGCTGCTGCCGATCACCACCGATCCCTGTGAACACATCCTGCCTCGTGATTCTTATGTGCAACCTCGTGGGAGTATCAATGCAGTGTGCGTTCAAGAAGCACACGTGGGAGTGTGGTGTGTGCGTGCGCGCGCGTGTTTCTGTGTGTGTACGTGTGCACGCGTGGCGTTTGCGTATCTTGCGCGTGCAGCGGGACGAGCGGCAGATAGCAGAGCAGCACAGGCGGGCGGGATTAGTCTCACAGTCCAATCAGATAAGGATTACCCAGCTGCAGAATGCCCCCCCCCCCGGGCTGAAGTGGCCTTACGTTGTGTCACGACACGGATCCACTGTACATGCGGCCGGATTACAGCTGCGTTCACAGTGGATGGAAAGTGTGTCCGGGGTCCCGCATCTGCCCCCCCGCTGTGACGCCGTCGGCTCCCTGCCGGCGGTCGTGGGCTCATCGCGCCACGTTGCCGGTGGCTCCGGGTTGTGTACTTGTCGTTGCAGCGGCCTCTCCGGCTGATACCCGGGTATCAGTGCGGGCTTCATCGATCCGGTTTAGAGTGCAGCCCTCGGGTCACTTTAGGTTTGACACCAGCGCCGCGCCGCGTCGTAGTCCTTCGTCGTGCATACGGTCGCATCTCTGTCGGCGGTGTTTGTTCTTCGAGTTTGTCGCGCTGCCACGTCGATACAGTTCTTCTCCAGATGGATCAGGAGCCGGAGCTCACAGAGCAAAGAGCGCCGGTCGGCTTGTTCGGGCTTAAGTTCACCCGCCCCTCACAAACCCACGTTTTATTACCAAATGCATTTGCTAAATTTCTCCCGCAGTATTTCGTTCATCATCTGTATCAGCAGTTTGACAGGAGAGAGCCTCCGTGTCTGAGTTCTAGTGATCTAACATGAAAGCTTCGCTCGCTACACACATCAAACACACTTCTGAGAGGTTGCTTTATGTATTCAGGACGATATGAAGGGACGTAAACAGCAGCAGGACTCTTCATTTATATTATTTACTTTCATTCTAGAGGAATATTGTGTTTTCATTACATAACCATCTCCTCACAAAGCCAGATGTTGAACAAGGAATCACCCAAACGCAATTTAAAAGCCCCGAAGGAACCACTGTGCCTGATCCCTTCAAATAAAAACATTATATCCTCATTATTATACCAAAGCTGAGAGGACAATGAAGGTTTTAAAGTAATCGCCGCGTCTCGCTGAAGGAGCGCCGCTGCGACGGGGTGGGCAGCAGTAATTGGTTTAGTCGATGATTGATGGCTCGTGTGGCTTCGGTGGTCGATGGGCGAGTGGCTGTGAACGTTGGTGGCACCCTCCAGTAAATACGGTCCCCCGCTCGCCATGGAGACGCCCCCCCAACCCCCCCCCCCCTCCACACACACACACACACACACACACGCGCTCCAAGCTACATGTTATATGGGGAAAAAGGTTTCAGTGACTACGTAATAATTATCCCCTCTGACCCCACGACACAGCGTCATGGTCCCAGCCAGCAGGGCTGTGTGTGTCTGTGTGCGTCTGTGTGTGTCCCTGATTTACACATGTTATTTTTAGCCGCAGTCGGTGGCGTTGGGTGGGGGGGGGGTCTATCTTTATCCTACATGGCCGGAGAACAAATCGATACCAAACACACGCTGGGCTTTGTGTAAGCGCTCGCGCGCCGCCTCACACTCACATCTCAAACCGCTGGAAGGAAGGCCGTTAAAAACATCTGCTTTTAAAATCAAACGCGGCGGCACGTGTTGTCTTGAAGTCGGCGTTACCAGCAGAGTGAGCGATGAAAACATTAAGCTCTGCAGTAATCCATTCAGAAGTTCGGGAATACAGTTATTAAGCTTCATTGTGGTGGTTTGGACTCACGTATTGATTCTTCTCAGTGCGGATGTGAAGCTAAACAGCCAGCAGCGACCTAGCTTAGCTTAGCATTACGACTGGAAACATCTTAAGTGTATGAAGGAGGAACACCAAATACAGTTTGACCAGTAGCAACTGCAGAGGTCAAAGGTCAAAGGTCGAGAGCAGCAGAATCCAGTCTTCCCGGCGTTTCCTCTTTGCTGCCGCATCTACAAATATGTTACCCTGGAAAATGCAAAGTTCCCGTGTTAAAGTGGCTTGAATAACCACTCGATTTTCAGTGAGATTGCACTCTGATTACACAGAATTGATCCTCTTACAATGGAAGTGTAATTACCAGCAGACCAATCTCTGATTCCATCGCAGCAGAGCTCCTCTCGGTTCCCCTCCACCGGCCGAGGAAACATCCCGGAGAGACCCGGCGCTAAATGATAATTAACTGCAGATGCAATCCGCTCACTTGAAGGAGCTGCAAGTCGCCTGCTACTTTTTTCTTTTCCCTCCGTCGCGCGGCGACAGAACGACAATCTACCTTTTGATTAATTGGTGGTGTCCGCGGCGCGGTTAATTTGCAATCCGTCACGCCGTATTTGCTTTGTGTCAGAACGCCGCCCAAACGCACTGCATCATCTCAGAGCGAAGCAGGAGGCCGAGTCGCCGCTAATGCTAATAGCCACGATCGCACCAGT